GGGATGTTCAAATTATATTTAAAAACAAAAGGGTGCTTACCCCTGTTAATATGAATCTTGCTGTAACTAAATGCAATTATCTCATTTAACCCCTGCCGTCTTCACACGTAATAGTTTCAAAAGGACAAAACTGAGACATAAAGAAATTAAGCATTTACCCCAAGGTCACACAACTCCCCAGTAGCAGAGCCTAGATTTGAAGCTAGTTCTTTCTGGCCTCAAACATTCTTGTCTTTCTAGTACCATACCCCTTTCCCCCTTTCTTACTCCCTAACAGGAAGAGGCACCTGCCTCAGCAGACGCTGACCTCACACTCAGCTACAGAGAGAAGTCCTATTTCCCTAAGTCTATCCACTCTCCCCCTTGCGGGGAGTGGTTCATCATTGGGATTGCAACGCAGTTTGGGCTAATAAAATATAGAGAGATGTTTTCTGGGGCCTTCTGGGGAAGATCTGCCTCAATCCTATGGGAGTGCCTGGAGAAGCACTGCCTTTTCTCCAGCCTGGACTCCACTGAGAAATCATAGGGTAGCCCCTGCTGTTCCTGACCAACATCCTAAGACGACAAGAGTGACTGGCCTCAGGATGGAACGATGCTGTGGATGGCAGAGTAGAGATAAGGAACAAGATATGGATCAGGAACATGAGTCCCTGATCACTGCACCTACCCACATATGTCCTGGATCCTCTCTCACTTTTCCAAAGATTCTGTTCCTATAGTTATTCTCGATATTCTTTCTCATCACTATCAACAGCTCTCTCTCTTCTGATATCCCAAACATGTGTTGGATTCTTTCATATTAAAACAAAATAAATCTTTGACTCTATTTTCTTCCAGTTCTAGCCCTCTTCTCTACTCCCCCTTTTCTTTTTTTTTTTCTTTTTTTTTTTTTTTTTTCTAGGAGAGAGAGAGAGAGAGAGAGAGAGAGAGACAGCGTGAGCAGGGGAGGGTCAGAGAGAGTGTGATACAGACTCTGAAATTGGCTCCAGGCTCTGAGCTGGCAGTCAGCTTAGAGCCCGACGCGGGGCTCAAACCCACGAACCGCGAGATCATGACCTAAGCGAACGTCGGACGCTTAACCGACTAAGCCACCCAGGCGCCCCACTCCTCCCCCTTTTCTAAAACTTTCTATTTTAGACCATTTAGTCAGACCATTCTAGTCCAGCCCCTGTTTGTTTCTTTGTTTGTTTTTTAGTGTGGAGGGGGCAGGCAGCAAGGGAACTTACATCCTTACGTCTGAGGTTTATCTTGGGTACCACATGACAAGATCTCCACCTCCCCCTCAAATCTTAAAAGTTTCTACAGAGGCCTTAACATGGCTCAGTCACATGCACAGTCCAGATGGTCTCAGCATCACGTCACTCAGGGCCGTGTCCTTGGGGCAGCTTCTGGAGAGCGGGGAAGGCAAGCAGGATGCACTTTGTAGTCCAGCTGCTGTTATGACTAGTCTCATAGAATTGCTCTCATCAAGTTCACTACTGACCTTCATCCTGCCAATGCCAATGGGCATTTCTAGGTTCTCATTTTTCTTGACTTCTTTGCAGGGTTTCAGTGGGGTGAACATCTCCTTCTTGGAATGCTTTCTTGGCTTCCATCACTCCACACTCCGCTGGCCATTCCCGTATCTCATTGGCTGCTCCTTCTCTCCTTCCTACACAGATGCTCCTCCTGTACTGAATTTCGCTATTTATTCCATCTCTTTCTTTATTTGTTCAACACTCAATATTTATTGAGAGTCTACCATATGCCAGACTCTGCTTTAGGTACTGGAGATAAAGCAATGAATAAACACAGTTCCTGATTTATAAAAGCATACTTTCTGGTGGAGGAGAAGTAAACAAACAACAACAAAATAAAGGCATAATAGAATATCAGGTAGTGAAAATTGTTATGAAGAATAATAAACCAGTAATCCCAACAGTGATGTTTTTAAAGATAGGATGGCCAGGGAAGAATACACTAAGGAGGAGCTACTTACATCAAGAAACATGGAATGTGTGTGAGAGAGAAGTTAAGGATGATTCCAGGTTCCCGACTTGCATAAAAGGAAGAATAGTGATACCATTTATTGAAATAAGGAAGATGAGGGAAGGAGGTGATTTGGGAGAGGAAGACCAAGAATTCGGGCTTGGATGTACTAAGGGGTCATATAGACACATTAAATGGTTCTTCGTATGGAATCAGCTTCTCTTGTGTGGGATTCCTTCCTCGAATCTTCAGGAGAACTTCCCTGACTACTCTATCTCTGAGAGCATCCCATCTGTCACGTCTCTCTCGCCCTCCCCTAGTTTCCTGTCTTAACAATAGTGAAATTATTAAACAATCTGTAATAACCAAACTTGGTTTGGTTGTCTACCCCCACTAAAACTACATCCTGTCAGAACAGGAATCTTGTCTGTCTTCTTCATGGCTGCATCCCCTGGGCTTAGTATTGTGTCTGTCACAGAGACAGGGCTCAACAAATCATTGTTGAATGAGAGAGCAAAGGGTATACCAGTCCTCTGGAGAGGTCAGGACAACTTGGTTCTTATCTGAGCTTAGCCAGTCACTAGATATTTGACTTCAGGCAAGTCACCTTTGTGGTATTTTGTCAATTTCAGAAAATTGACTGAAATTGATGAGACGATTTCTAAGGGCTAATTTGTCCACTTTGCAATTATGTTTAAAATCCAGGATTGGGGGGCACCTGGGTGGCTCAGTAGGTTGTGTTCTGCTCTTGATTTCAGCTCATTGTCCCAGGGTCGAAGGATGGAGCCCCGCATAGGGCTCCACACTGAGCATCGAGCCTACTTAAGATTCTGCCCCTCTCCCCTACTTGTGCTCTCAAAAACAAAGAAAAAAAAGTAAACATAAACTAATATAAAATCCAGGATTTTATATATATTATGAAATTCGTACCCAGAACCTCATTGCCGAAGGGCTTTTTAATGCAGAAGGAGCTCAAACTATTGCTTATGGGGATATTTACCACAGGAATCCCTAAGCGTTCTATATTCCCACTCCTAACTCTCCTAAGTCTTCAGTCTCAGGTAGCCATCCATTCTGCGAGGCTCCACCCCGGTATCAGGGAGAAACAGTTGGAAAGAAATAGTTGGGAAGAATGAACTGTACTGTGAAAAATTTCATTTTCTGGAACATTATTGAGCACCTATTCACCAGTACAGTTCCAGCCTTTTTAGGTATGCTGCCATATTTCGCATGTATTTAAAGATTATTTCACTATTCAAACATATATTTACAAAATCCCATCATGTAGGTATTAGTGCCCCCATCTCACTGATGTAGGAAATGAGGTCCAGGGACATGAACTGATCTGCCTTAGTTCAGGCAAGTGGCAAGTGGCAGAAAAAAGACTAGAATCTAGATCTCCCCCACCTCCTCATCGTGCTTTCCATCACACCACAGATGCCGATAATCAAGGGCAAACCCTCTCAGATAAAATCAGTTTCCAGTGGACTCAGGTCTATTTGTTGAAAAGAAAAGAAAAGAAATTGAATTAAGAAACCCTCTTTTAAAATCCAGTGTTCAAAAAGTTGACAGTTTAGGGGCACCTGGGTAGCTCAGTCTGTTAAGCATCTGACTTCGGCTCAGGTCATGATCTTACGGTTCGTGGGTTCAAGCCTCGCGTTGGGCTCTGTGCTGACATCTCAGAGCCTGGAGCCTGCTTCTAATTCTGTGTCTCCCTCTCTCTCTGACCCTCCCCTGCTGACACTGTCTCTATCTCTCTCTCAAAAATAAATAAAACATTTAAAAAAAAGTTGACAGTTTATGTTCTAATTCATCTTGGAAATCCTGTTGTAGAGGCATTAATTACTAGAACTTAAATGCATAGCTAGATGGAAATAATACCGCATATATATTGAAGAGCCAAAAATTAAGTCCTCCATTAAGAGCAACCTCGGGCTGCACGTACCCCCAGTCCCAGGAAAAGCCTCAGACTGTTCAAGGCTAAAGCCATCCTCTGACCGCCCTCAGATCAGCTAATCAAAAAGAAAAAAGAAACATTCCTATGGTCTGAGTCAAGGCTGGGAGCTGCAGATACAAAGTAGCCAATTTCTCACCGCTTGCCTGAACCCCACATGGGCCCTTTGAATTCACCTCATAATTGGTCATTTTCAAAGGATTCTCAAAAGTCATGATTGGGTCCCACCAAAAGTAATGAACACCTCACAGATACTGAATGGTCAAAGCTGTAATTGTAATTGGTGCTTATGTGATGATGCTACATGTACTGTAACACCCCCATCCCTTACTCCTTAAAAACCCTATTCGCTATTGTTCTTGGCTTCACCCTGCTGCTATGACACTGGTAGGTGGGCGAGCCCCCGCTTGAGCTTGTAATAAAGACCCTTTTGTATTTGTGTTGGAGGTCTCTGGGACTCGCAATTCGGGCACAATATCAATATGTTTACAGAGGCAGAAAAGATTTCTGAAAGAGCAAGGTTTCCCAGGGCTCCTACTGGAGAAGGAAGAGGGGGATGGCAGGCATATCTATTCCTGCATGACCTTCACTTCCTTTGCTTTTCGTTTCCTTAGCATTTTTAAAGACTTCACTTTCAAAAGAAACCTGCTTTCTTAAGAAATTCTTCTCCCACCGAGATATCATTACAGAACGTCTGTCTCGTGTGTGTGCACGAATGAGTATATAAACCTATGCCACATCAAAGATGTAAAGCTCTGTATATGAATCTTAGCATTGGGCATGATTCTGAAGGAATAACCGAAAAAAGAGTAATAAACCTTCAACATGGACATAAAAAGCCAGGAGGATAATCAAGGCAGCTTGGGTATAGTTCCTTTTTCTCTCTTCCAGCCACAAGCTAACCTTTTTGCCTTTGAATGTAAAAATGGTCTCCGAAAATAGGACTGGATGCTGTGAATAGAGAAAAGCATCCTTAGTTTTTTTCCTTCACTACCTACAATGGCAAAAGCAGTCATCTAAGAACTAAACTCTCAATACAGCAAGATCATAAATTGAAAAATGAATAAATAGCGTTTATTTTGTCCGAGGTGGCTGTCCGTGTCCGAGCCCCCAGCGCGCCGGGCGCGCCCCGAGGGGACGCTCTGGGGCCCGGGCGGCCTCAGGGCAGCAGCAGGGAGCCCAGCAGCAGCTCGCCCTGGCCCCGCTGGCCGCCCCGCTCCAGGCCGCGACCCCGCGGCTCGGCCTGGACCCGCACGGCCAGGCGGCGCACCTGGTCCTCCGACAGTCCGTCCACGCACAGGTCCTGGTCGAAGGCGGCCTTGCGGCTCCGCGGGACCACGGCGCTGCGCTGCGAGCGCGTCTGGCCCGGCGGCCGCAGGACGAAGCTGACGCGGCAGCCGACGGCGGGCGACGCGGCGGTCCCCGCGGCCGGGCCCTCGGCGCCCAGCAGCCGGACGCGGAGCCGCCCGCTGGCGCGGCTGTACTCGGCGGCCAGGCGCAGGGCGCCCCCGGCGCGGCCCAGGCCCACGGTGCCCTCGGCCTCCAGGCGCTCGGGCCGCGGGCCGGCGCAGGGCAGCGGCGGCGGTGGGGACGCGGACGCGGCCTGGGGCCCGGGCCCCGAGACGGCGCCGCGCTCCTCGTCCTCGTCGCCGTCGCCGCTGGACACGGAGCGGGCGCGGGCCGGGCCTCGGCTCCTCCGGGCCCGCAGCGCGCGGCGCAGCAGCCCTTGCGGCGCGCGCAGGAGGCGGCGGGCGCGGAGCGGCGGGGCGGGCGCGTCCGGGGGCGCGCGGGGGCCCGCGGGGAGCGCGGGGGCGGAGGCGGGAGCTGCGTCCCGGGGCGCGAGCGGGGCGGCGGCGGGGCCCCCGAGGAAGAGCGACTCCTTGCGGCGGGTGTGCGGGCTCTCGAGCAGCGCGCAGAAGCCGTAGGCGGTGAGCGCGCGGGGCAGGTGCGGCAGCGACAGCGCTGCCTGCGAGCGCGGGTCCCAGTCCGTGTGCGCCGCGCCGTCGTCGGCGGCTCTGGGCCACAGGTCCCGCTCGGCTGCGCAGCGCCGGGGCAGAGAGGCGGCCGGAAGCGGGGACTCGGTCGCGCAAGACGCGGACAGTCGCGGCGGGATGCAGAACTCGGGGATGCGGGCCGGCGTGAGCACGTTGGAGAAAGCGGGCTCCGGAGCGGAGGCGCGGAGTTTCCTGAGGAGCCTCATCCTCCGAGGCTGCGGGGGAGAGTGGTGGCAAGAAGCCCTCCTGCGAGAGAGAGAGAAAGAGAAAGAGAGAGAGAGAGAGAGAGAAGCTGCTGAGTGTGGACCGCTATCTGGGGCCCTCCGACAGCTGGCCAATCCAAGCCGAGCTCCCCTGCACCCACAAATCTGCCCGCCTTCCATTCATTAGTACTAAATAAACGAAGAAATAGAAATCAGACCTTTCCTTCTTCTTCAGTCACTCTGGGTCAAGAGTGTCAAGTTCAGTGCCAGCTGCTGCCTCGCGGTCCTGGCTGGGGCGCCAGCTTCAGCACTCTGGCCAGGACAGTGGCGCTCCTGTCTTATACGCGCAGCCTGAGTCCCGCCCAGCTGGCCGCGAGCCCAGCCCCTGGAGCCAGTGGACAGCCCGCCTTCTGAGCCACCCCTGCCCGCCGCCACTGGGGGGCCCTGCAGTGGGTGCTTGGGTGTGACCCTCCAGTAAGTCCTGGGACCTGCATCCACTCTGCGTGCTCGGAGCCCCTTACACAGGCCTGGAAAAGGTTGCAGGTGAGGAGAGGGCGCCTGGTCGCCCTGCCCAGGGAGAACTGGTGGTGGAAAATGCTTGCGGCCTGGATGAGGAAGCAGGAAGTTCCTTTTTGGTAGGAGCTAAATCCTGTCACCCTGCACAGGGACATGCCCCGGGCTCTTCTACTTTACTGCCTCCACGCACCCACCATGTGCAGACCAATATGGTTTCCATGGTATTCGTGTACTTATTACATGTCTCCCTCTGCTGGATGGTGGCCTCCTTAATAGCATAAAGCCGGGCATAGTGAATGCCATAAATACTGGTGAAGGGGGCGAACTTTACAAAACTTCCTGGATGACGTCTCACGGTCATTTTTTGTCACAAAAGATGAGGCCTCTGGCTCATACCCTAAAAATAATACATTATATTTCCAAGGCTATGCCTTTCTCTCTGCTTCAGTGGGGAAGTACCAGTTAGAAAGTCCCTTACAGAAAATCTGTGTTGCCTCATCCCACCCCCTCCCCCAACCTTCATTTTCTAATATGAGAAAACTCGAAGCAGGAAGGGACTTGAGGAAATTCCGTAAAGGTTAAATATAGCTATATAATGGCAGAACCTGGAACTAGCAATTTCCTGTTTATTTGACTCTGTGTGTAATGCTTCCTGGTATCTAAAATGTTCTTTCTCTGCTTATTCTCTCTGTAGGAACTCCTGTTTATTTTCCATAACTGAGCCAGACAGCATCCCCTTCAGGACCCTAAATTTGCCAGCTCCCCCTCTACAGTTCCTCAGCCCTTCCTTATTCCCTCTGTACATATTTTATGTACCACTATTGCTGCATTTAGCATGCTGCTATGGAATTTTTGGTTTACAGGTTTGTCTCCCGTAACAGACTATGAATTTCTTGAGGGCAAGGACTGGGATGACTCAGGAACTTTGGGGAGACCTCTTTTTTTTTTTAATGTTTTATTTATTTCTAGGAGAGAGACAGCGCGAGCAGGGGAGGGTGAGAGAGAGAGGGAGTCACAGACTGAAACAGGCTCCAGGCTCTGAGCTGGCAGTCAGCACAGAGCCCGACGCGGGGCTCGAACCCACGAACCGCGAGATCATGACCCAAGCGAAAGTCGGACGCTCAACCGGCTAAGCCACCCAGGCGCCCCAGGGGAGACCTCTTCTGAAAGTAGGTAAAATAAAATAAAAGTGCTCCCATTAAGAACCTGAGTCTGCCTCCATCCCAGTTGCCCTATACAAGGGACAAACCTAGCTGTCTTATTAATTTTTATCCAATTCCAGCACCTGGAATACAATGCCAGGCAAATAATAAGTGCTCAGTAAATATTTGAGTGAATTATATTGTGTGGAATTGAACCTGATGTACCATCCAGGTCTTATGACTGTCAGGTGCTTTGAACCACATATCACTCTAACTACCTTATTCAGCTTCTCACAAGAAACCAGTGAGGTGGACATTGCTTCTATTTATGAGATGAGAAACTGAGGCTTAGGTTAAGAGACTTGTCTAGGGCCATTGAAACTATGAATCTGACCTTGTTTCCTAAGTCCCAGCTTTTGGCTAATTTCTTTCATCCTTCTCTCTTTCCATTCTTCCTCCATCTCCATTCACTCAGTTCAATAAAATTCACCGAGTCTGTTGTGTGTCAGGCAATGTGTGTCTGTGTGTGTGTGTGTGGTGTGTTGTACTGCACTTTATACCCAGAATGTTAATTCTTAAAGCAAGTCGGTCTACTATTAAGTATGTTCCACTATGCTTGCTTTTCAATAATAAGACCATTATTTCCAAATTCTTAGAGGTAAGGAGAGTAAATATTTCCCCTAGTTAGTAATTAATATTTTCTTTCTTTCTTTTTGAGTTTATTTATTTATTTATTTATTTATTTATTTTTTAAATGCTTTATTTATTTCTAGGAGAGAGAGAGACACAGCGCGAGCAGGGGAGGGTCAGAGAGAGAGGGAGTCACAGACTGAAACAGGCTCTAGGCTCTGAGCTGGCAGTCAGCACAGAGCCCGACGCGGGGCACGAACCCACGAACCGCGAGATCATGACCTAAGCGAAAGTCGGACGCTTAACCGACTAAGCCACCCAGGCGCCCCTGAGTTTATTTAATTTGACAGAGGGGAGAGAGAGAGAGAGAGCGAGAGCGAGCGAGCGCACTTGCAGGGTAGGAGCAGAGAGAAAAAGAGAGAATCCCAAGCAGGCTCTGCAATATTACTGCAGAGGGCCACTCCGGGCTCGAACTCATGAACCGTGAGATCAAGACCTGAGTAGAAATCAAGAGTCAGACCCAGGCGCCCCATGATATTTTCTTTCTTAATTGATCACTGTTCCCCTTTAGAATGTGCTTTTTTGATGGGACAAGCATGAATCATGCAACCAGGAAGTAGTAACCATTCCTGCCGAAGCCAAACTTGCAAGCAGAGTGGTCCCTGGGTCTCTGCCTGGATCATTCCCTCTGATTCTTCAGGCCAGTCTGCAAATTAGTGGGCAAAAGGTCTTCTCTAGAGTAGAACACACCTGTATGTGCCAGCTCATTTCAAATTAGATCTCGGTGAAAACCAATCTTCCAAGGGCTTTTATGACATAAACACACAAATATTCCATCGGTGGGTAAATGCCACCAAAAGCAGGATATGGGATTTGAGGAATTATGCTGCTAGTACTTTCATATTAATAGGACAACATAAGCATGGCTGGAAATCCAGGCTCTATCTAGAGGATTTTCCAAAACCATTAGTTTTCCATGAATCAATATTCTACAGAAGAGAAAGCAAGATACAGGGAAATTAAATTACTTACCCAAGATACACTCCAGTCATTCGTTCATTTAAGCCCATAGCTGCAGGCTGTATCCATAGTTAGAGGTCTGACTTTCTTCTTGATTATGAAATCAACACTGGGAAAAAGTGAAAAACAATTTTCAGTGGAAACTCTGATTACTCCTGTTGTTTCATTATTTTGTGCCTTTTGACCACGTCAGGTCCACCATCAACTTGTATTCAAAGTTTTGAAATTGTTATTTCAAAGAAACCATCCCAATGATAATATTCATGTTTACTTAACCTTCATTATATACTGGGTCTTATTTAATCCCTAAACAATCCTCTAAGAAAGTTAAGGATGCAGAAACTATGGCTCACAGAGGATAAGCAACTCACCCAGGGGCTCACAGCCAGTAAAAGCGGGGATGGGAGAAAAACCCATATCCACCTGGTTCATTATCCTGTGTGCTTATAACCACTTCCCTAGAGTGCCATTTCTTCTGAATCCATCACCTTTTCGTAAGTAAAAGAGAAAGAGATCTTTGTTCCCAGGCCTTGGGTTAAACTACACACCTTATTGTTTACACCAGCGCCTAACAGATTAACACACGCAATTGTTACAAGCAGGAAATCACTGGTTTTGCACAGCAGTTCTCTACCATTTGGAAACAGAATCCTTATTCTCCCAGGAAGTCTATTCATTCTCTTTATTTATACCATACTTGGTTCCAAAATGGGATTTGAGGTGATTTACATAACAAAGACCCAGGGAATTTAGGGGCTAGAGCCTGACTTGGTAAAAGCGGAAAAGGCATGCATTATCTGTGTAAAGAATCCTGAATGAGGTCCCAGTTGACACATTCCCAATACCCATACCCCTAGAATGGGATGGACATGATGCAAAGGCAGTGAAAGAAAGCTGCAGCGCGAAGGCTTGGGGTAGTGAGAAATCCTACAGGACCCGCATGGTCCACTAGCCTTGGAAAACCAGTGAAGAACCAGTCTGAATGTCCAGTGGTGTGGGAATGGCCTTGTCTCCTTTACAGAAAAAAATACAGTCATGGAAAACCATCATCAAGAAGACTGTAGCAACACAGAAGCATGTTTCTGTTGGAGCATTTGAAGAAATTAACAATATGCAAAATTATACATCCCTTAACATCTCAGTTGGATAAAGATGTGGTTTCAAAGCCCAAAACTAAATGGGAATATAAAACATTGGCCCAATTTCTTTCTTGTGGGCATTGAAGTTTTTATCAATTTACGGTCCATTGAAAGTTAGTTTGAGGAAGCCTACATGCACAGATAAAATGAAAGAAATAAGTACTGATAAAATCTGATAACATTTTGGATACAATCAGAAATGAAGTTATAATGGAAAATATGTAGTGAAGGCTTCTTTGTAGCTGTCACAGTGTTAGAGCAGAAGCCCAGGATCTGGCATCCTAAGAGCTAACTTTGACCTCTAGCCCTGAAATTTACTTATCTGTGTCCTTGAGCAAGTCATTGCACCTCCGATATGACTTGTTTTTATCTATTAAATGGGAAAGATGAACATTCTTTCCTGAAGACAGAATGGGAACTCGCATGTGAAAGTATTTTGTAAGTCATAAAGCTATTCAATGCAAGCTTCCTGTTTCCTGTTCTTTTCATATTCTGCACCCTGCATCCACCTGCCTTCAAGATTCCTGGGACTCTGTTCAAACATCACATCCTCCTGAAAGCCCTCTATGCCTGCCCAGGTTTGGTCAAAGGCCCCTTTTCTGTGATCTTCCTTTAGAGTGAAGAGAAGGCATGGCAGCAAATTTTTGGAAGTCTCTCAAACTTGATTTCACAATCCCACTCTGCCACGTTCTTTCCATTTTTTTAAATGTTTATTTATTTTTGAGAGAGAGAAAGAGTAGGGTAGGGGCAGAGAGAGAGAGGGGACAGAAGATCCCAAGTGGGCTCTTTGCTCACAACAGTGGAGCTCAAACTCACGAACCGTGAGATCATGACCCGAGCTGAAGTCGGATGCTTAAGTGACTGAGCCACCCAGGCGCCCCCCCCCCCCCCCCCCCCCCCCCCCCCCCCCCCCCCCCCCCCGCCACCTTGTACAGGCGTGGCCTTGGCCAAGTTAGTAAAATCCTCTGAGTCCACTCTAATCTGTTAATCTTATTTTACCTCCATTTTGTGAGGATTAGAGAGAGAACATAGAGCACAAAGGACATAATAGGGCTCAGTAAATTTTGGTTATTATTACCGAAACAATTTCCTTGGATTAAGTTTAAATGTTCAAAATTGCTTAGTTTGCTAAAACATATTAAGTCTATATTTACATTTGAAACCTTTTGAAGATGGCTAATGAAAAACATATGGAACAACTTAAACAAAAACGAATTCCTTGTCCACATTGAGATAATTGCAGAATATTAATATTATCACAGTTAAATGTTTATCAAGCTAACAAATGAAAACCAAGGTTAGTTCTATCAATTTCCTTATCAGTTTCCTTTTTTTTTTTTTTTCCCCTGAGGAGGAGTGCCCAGATTCTTCCTATTATTTGCTTCTCCCTCCAGGTAACTGTCTAATTTCTGGTTACCTTTTTTTTTTTTTTTTAATTTTTTTTTTTTTAATATTTTTATTTATTTCTAGGAGAGAAAGAGACAGCGTGAGCAGGGGAGGGTCAGAGAGAGAGGGAGTCACAGACTGAAACAGGCTCCAGGCTCTGAGCTGGCAGTCAGCACAGAGCCCGACGCGGGGCTCGAACCCACGAACCGCGAGATCATGACCTAAGCGAAAGTCGGACGCTTAACCGACTAAGCCACCCAGGCGCCCTTCTGGTTACCTTTTAAGAACGTTCAGCTCTTTGGGCTTTCTCCTCTCATGTCAGAGATTAGTCCTGTTTATGTACACATTATATATTCCGTGCACAGAACATTTCTAGTCATTTTTACAAATAGCATACTTGTTGAATCCTCAAAATCACATCAATCCAATATTCATTTTACAGGTAAGGACACTGAGACTCAGCACTTCGAGATACTAGCACTTGGCTGACTGATTACTCAAACCCTGTTCTTGACCCCATAGTTTATGATCTTTTTCCAAAACAATGTTTTCAGTTGCTTGTGGCCCAAGGTGTTTATAAAATATACTGGAAAACTTGTTTCTTAGCTAAAGCAGCTTGGACATGAAGTATCATGAGAAGTGAGAAGTAACCCAAAATTTTTCAGCAAATTTGCATGTATCTCCTTCTGGCTACTCTCTGCTTTTGCCCACCTTTGAAATGCTGTTATTCCCAGAGTTTTTTCTGCAGTCCCACTTCTGACTTATCCCCAGGGATTCAGTCTGATCTCTTTGTGCACGCCTCTCGGGGCTGCCTGGTCAGTGCCCCACACCTCCAATCAGCCTGCCCTACCCCCTCCTCCCAGGAGCTAAGAAACAAACCTGATCACATCACTTGGTGACTTTAAGCCTTCTGTGGTGCCTCATTGCCTTTAGATAAAGCCCAACTCCTTTGCCTGGAGTACAAGAGTCCTCAGGATCTGGCCTCTCCCTCCCACTATATTCGGCCTCATCTCCAGCTATTCCCACTGTGCCTGTGACTTCAGTCCTATACTCTCTGTTCCCTGAAAACACATATTCACTCACCTCCAGTCTCTGTTTATGCTATTCTCTCTATCTGATGAGCCCAGCTGCCATCTGCCTTCTTAAGTTCTCTTCATTATTTAAGACTCAGTTCAGGGGTGGCTCAGTCAGTTGAACATCTGACTCTTCTTGACTTTGGCTAAGGTGATGAGGTCAAGCCCTGTGTCGGGCTCCGCACTGGGCATGGAGCATGCTTGGGAGTCTCTCTCTCCCTCTCTCCTTGCCCCTCCCCCACTTGTGCCTGTGGGCACTCCCTCTCTCTTTCTCAAAATGAATAAACGCTTTAAAAAGAAAAAAAAAAAGACTCACTTCAGGCATCAGCTCTACCTGAAAACCTTCCCTGACCTCCCCAGGTTGAGCTGTGCCCTCTGCTATGATAGCATATGATATTCAAAATGTTTGTCTGTTTTTCCCACAGATCACTTTGAAGGAGACGTTGCGTTTCACCTCCATACCCCAGAAATCACGCATAGGGCTGGCATATTGGTAGCCAAATGTTTGCTGAAATTAGTCACAGTCTTGCACTGCTATTTAACTGGGTGTTTTTTCTAAGTGCTCATGTATCTTGTCTTTAAGATCTTTAACAGATTTTTAAGTTCATTTGAGGTTAAGAATCATTTTTTTTAGATCTGTCCCTTTCCTCCTTTTGAGAATTTACCTTGATTGTTCCTATTTTTGCCTAAAAAGGAGCCAGGTGAGAAACTAGTATTAACTTTTTAGTTCCACTGTCAGGGAATTAGTGTATTCTTTCCTATGGTGCTTGTCTTAGTACAACTGTTATTGCTTAATTCGAGTTATGTTCATTGTCACTGACGTCATTTGAGTTTCCTTAGGTCAAATAAATAGTCTTTCAAACTTTCAACCATGTGGGTGCGTTTACATTATGAAAGTGATTTATTATGGTAACTCATATTAAATCAAGTAGTTGAGATGACTTATTAAATGGATGAACATAGTGGTTAACATGTAGCAGCTTGTACCTTTCTCACGGGCTGTCTAGAAAACTAACTGTTCTGGTCCTTTTCAGACTTTTTTTTAAAAAGGTAATCTCCACATCTTACAACCCCAAGATCAAGAGTTGCGTGCTCCACCAACTCTGCCAGCTAGGTGCCCCAAACTGTTCCAGTATTTCTTTTCTTTTTTAATGTTTATTTTGGGGAGAGAGGGGGAGCCAGTGTGTGAGTGGGGGAGGGGCAGAGAGAGAGGGAGACACAGAATCTGAAGCAGGCTCCAGGCTCTGAGCTGTCAGCACAGAGCCTGATGCAGGTTCTAACTCACAGATCCTCAGATCATGACCTGAGCCCAAGTTGGATGCTCCAACTACTGAGCCACCCAAGCCCCCCTCTGGTCTTGATTCCCAGCCAACTGCTTCATTCTAGTTGGTCATTAACTTATGTCTTTCCTCTATGAGTAGTAACCAAATTTTTAAGTATTCCATTTCCCTTTCTATTACTAACTACTACAAGGTTGACCAAAAGCGACGTTCCTGGTAAAGACTTTTTTT